GTTCATCCTATGGTTTAGCCTCCAGTCCCCTCATCATCTCGGTTGCACTTTTTTTTAGAGTCTCAACCTCTTTTTAAAGTGTGGTGACCAAAACTGGATGCAGTACTCTAGGTGTGGCCTTACTAAGGCTTTATAGCGTGGTATTAGCACCTCACTTGTATCCCTGGGTTAATGCAACTTAGGATTGCATTGGGGGTTTTTTTGGCCGCCGCTGCACACGGCTGGCTCCTATTTAGCTGGTTGTCCACGAAGACTCCAAGATCCCTCTCCCAGTTCCTGCTATTGAGCCTGGTTTCACGCCAGTCTATATGTGCACTTTTGGTTTTTCTTGCCTAAGGGTAGGACTTTACTTTCCTCTACGTTGGATGTCATTCTGTTAGATGACTTTGTCTATCTTTCTGCTCACCTCCCCTTCTTTGCCTCCGGTCAGAGAGAGGGGCCTGGTGTCCGGGCAGGGCTGAATTGTATCTGCCACCCCTCCACCTTGTTCTCTCTCCAAACAGCCCCTCCCGTCCCCACTCCTACCCTCCCCCCTCCGCCCGGCACCCTAGGCAAAATAGAAGCGCTTGGCTCCCTGCCAAGAGCTGCCCATGCTGGCAGTAGCCACCACTGAGCGGGCAGGGAGGGAATGAGAGATCGCTGCCCCTGCTGTTTATTTACGGAAGGGGGAAACGCCGCGACCAGCGAATCAGGCGGCCTTTTAAGCACACGTTCTTGTGGGGTGAGTAAGAGGGAGGCCAGCCGGGGGGTGTGTGTGTGTGTGTTTCTGGATGCCTTAATTCAACAGCTCTGCCCTTCCCACCCTCTGACCCGTCTCTCTCTCTCTCTCTCTCTGTCCCCTCTTGCTGGTGCCCTCAGTGCCGCCGTCTCTGTCTCTCCAGCCAGCCTTACTAGCACTGACCTCAAACCGCGAAATAGGCCCGAATTGTTTCTGAAAGCGCCAAAAGGTCAGAACAAGGAACAACCGATGGAAACTCATCAAGGAGAGAAGCAACGGTGGCAATGCCAGCAGGGGTTGGGAGGAGTCCAACCGACGTTGTCCCCAGTTGTGGTTAGTTGGTTATGTCTGGGTTGCCAAGGGTCTCCTGCTTGGGCAGGGGGTTGGACTAGATGACCTACAAGGTCCCTTCCAACTCTGATTACCTGTTATCTGTTATTTATTTAACCTGGAATTAAAGGAGAAACTTCCTGAAAAGGCCCAGACTCCCCTTCAAACGATAAGAATGAACTCCTGAAAACTGGGTATTTCAAAAGGAATTCTTTATCGTGAAAAGGAAGTTATCCAGGTAATAGCAGAGGTGGGATTCAAATTTTGTAAACAACCGGTTCTGTGGGCGTGACTAGGTGGGCATGGCCATGTGACTGGGTGGGCATGGCTTCTATTTTTATTTGCAGCCTACTCACACATACACACAACGTTTTTTACCCTCCTGGGCAAAGCAGTAAGACAGCGAGGGGAATCCTAGCAGAACAGCTGATCATCGGAAAAGCTGATCTTTGGGAGGGAAAAAAAAAGGAAATACCTTAAGGAGCGACTGGGTGGGGAAGAACATAGTCAGCGATGTCGGGCATGCGCGATAAGGACTGACTGGGTAGGGAGGGGAGGGGTGGGCGGAGAGGGGCGGGGCCAGCCAGGCGCACCATTTGCCGGTTCTCTGAACTGCCCATAATCATAACAACCGGTTCTATAGAACCAGTCTGAACCGGTAGAATGCCACCCTTGGATAATAGTCAAAGCAGGATCTGATATCCCTCCAGGTAGGCAGCATAGATAAAGGGAGTTAGAACCCCTCCCTGTAGTCCGGTGTGGATTTCGTCAATACAAAGAAGCAACATGTTAATTCCCCCCCCCCCACACACACTTTTTCTGGGAACGTAGTTGAGAAAAGTTTCCCAGGAAGGTTCTTTCAGAGCTGGAGTTTTTATGGCCCCTTCTCCTCTTGCTGTCTCTCCAAGAGGTGACACGTTTCCAGGCACCTGGGCTCCAGTCCCCAGTTGCAAGTTATACGGATTTAATACAAGGCTTCAGATGTTCAGGTTACATCAAAAAAGGATGACTTGTACCAACTCCCCTCCCCCCCTTCTTCTTCTTCCATTGAAGCATGGCAGATACACGGATCTGACACTTCCTAACAGTGAGAACAATTAACCAGCGGAACTGCTTGCCACCAGAAGTTGTGCAAGCCACTTGTCTCAAAACGGGATAAACATCTCACAAATGAAGGCGAATAGACGAGTCCCGGGGTAACGTTGCAGGATCCAATCTGGGTCTAGGCTCTCCTGCTCGAGGAAGGGGTCGGACTAGAGGACCTCGGAGGTCCCTTCCAACTCTATGTTCTTGGGAGGTCCTCCTGGCTTTTGACCCTGGGAGGTAGACCCTGGGCAGCCTGTCCTGGCCCTGGCATGTCCCGCTTGCGGCCATTGGTCCAGCCAGCCCTTGCTGGACTGTGTGGGCCTGTGGTCCCATTTCTTTCCTGACCTGCCACCGGCTCCTCTCTCCACCCCGCACCCAGCACCCTGAATATGTTGCACCATCAATCAAACTCCGGGCCAGTTGCCAGGTCTGAGTTCACAGAGTTTGGCAGCGTCAACGAGTGCGCGGTGCGTGTTCTCGGGGGCAAACCAAGGCCCGGTGCCAGTGCCGAAGGATCCCGGGACTATCAGTCTGCCGCAGGAGGGCCGTTTGGTTCGGGACGTTCCCAGCCTCGTTATTTGACGCCTGCGGTGATAAACACGGGTTGCTTTGCCAAAAGGCCTTGGCGGCTGCAGGAATCATGAGGAGAGGGCGGGGCGCAGGCAGGCTGCTCCGTCCCAGCCTCTCCTCTCCGCCCCCCCTCTTCGACTGCACCCCATAACCTTTAGTCCGGCTGAGAGAGGCGAGCGTGATGAGGTTTAATGGGGGGCGGGGGGGGTGGATATCTGTCCGGAAGACTGAACAGTGTGTTCTGGACCAGGGGTCTCCCACCTTGGCAACTTGAAGCCTGAATTCTCCAGCCAGCTAATAGATTGCTAATCTCTTGGAAGGGACCTTGTAGGTCATCTAGTCCAACCCCCCGCCCAAGCAGGGGACCCTACACCATTTCTGGCAAATGGCAATCTGGTTTCTTCTTGAAAGCCTCCGGTGATGAAGCTCCCACAACTTACAGATAACAGAGAATCAGAGTTGGAAGGGACCTTGTAGATCGTCTAGTCCAACCCCACCCTCCCAGCCCAGCGGGAGACCCTACACCATTTCTGACAAATGGCAGTCCAGTCTCTTTTGGAAAGCCTCCAGTGATGAAGCCCCCACAATATCTGAAGGCAACTTCTGTTCCATGGTTGATTGTTCTCACTGTCAGAAAGTTTCTCCTTATTTCCAGGTTGAATCTCTCCCTGATCAGTTTCCATCCATTGTTCCTTGTCTGGCCTTCAGGTGCCTTGGAGAATAGCTTGACCCCTTCCTCCTCCTCTCTGGGGCAGCCCCTTAAATATTGGAAGGCTGCTCTGGTGTCTCCCCTGGTCCTTCTCTTCCCTAGACTAGCCGGGCCCATTTCTTGCAACCATTCAACCGTTTTAGCCACCAGTCACTCTCTCTTGCCCTCTCTCCTTCTCTTTCTCGCCCTCTTTCTTTCTCTACTTCCTTCCTTCCTTTCTTTTTCTTTCTCTCCTCTCTCTGTCTTTCTCTCCCTTTTTGTTCTCTTTCTCACTTTTTTCTCTTCCTCTCTCCGTTCTTCCTCTCCCTCTTTTTTCTCTCCTTCCTTCCTCTTTCTCTCCTCTCCCTCTTTCTCTTTTTCTTCCTTTTTCTTTCTCTCTCTCTTCCTTAAAATATTGGAAGGCTGCTCTCCTGTCTCCCCTGCTCCTTCTCTCCACTAGACTAGCCAGGCCCAGTTCCTGCAACCATTCATCGTATGTTTTAGCCTCCCGCTTTGCTGGCTGGGGAATTCTGGGAGTTGAAGTCCACTTGGCTTAAAGTTGCCAGAGTTGGAGGCCCCTGTTCTGGACAGAAAGGGGTCCGTATTCAGCCAAGAGGCTTCCCTTTCCTACATGGACTGGCAGGAAGAGGGTGGGCACTTTGAGCCCCACGGACTGCGTCCTTCCCCAGATCTCTGAGCCTTGAGCCAGGCAGGAGGACAAAGGGTGGTGATGGCTTGGTCAAGGTGGGAGCTTCAAACACTGGAACTTTCGAGAAGAGACTGGACTGCCGTTTGTCAGAAATGGTATAGGAGTTGGACAGGGGGTTGGACTAGATGACCTATAAGGTCCCTTCCAACTCTGTTAATCTGTCATCTGAAGAGACCCAGAGAGCAGGAAGACATTGCCACCTGCTGGCGGAAGGCGTTTGGGGGCCTTTCTGCGGCCCTCTTAAAAGCAGGGCTGGGCAACCCCTGTGGACTTCAACTCCCAGCATGCCTGGCTGAGGAATTCTGGGAGTCGAAGTCCACAGGTCGACAACAACAACAACAACAAAAAGAGGCCGGTGGTTGCATCCTGTATTAAAGCTGGTCCCAAGGGGAGAACGAAAGAAGCGAGAGGGAGCAGAGTAGGAGTAGAATTGGGGCTAGGTCACACCACACCACACACGCCAGCCACACACACACACACACACACACACACACACACATGCATCCCTTGCCCATCGCAGCCGTGCCTTTGGGCCCAGCGTTGGGCCCCCAGGAAGACTCGCCCGGGGCTGAGCCGGGGCGCACGGGACGATGTCAGCCGCATTCGTGGCAGGTTCCGCAGTAACCCCGTCCGTTCTCGAGGGGTGTGGCGAGGGGTACGGGGTGAGGTCGTGCTCGCCGCTGGGCAGAAAGCCGGAAAACGTTATCCTTCAGGGCCTCGGGCCACCCTTTTGCAGGCCGAGGAGGCTTTTTGGGGAGATGGGGAGACCCCAGAGACTTCGCCCAAACTTAGCTTCTTCGGAGTGGGCTGTTTTTATTTTTCCCCCGTTCATAGAAATTTTTGAAGCCCACCCCGGCCCCCAACGCGCAGGAAATAAGATTCCAACACAAGACCAGACGGCATCTCCAAAGTGAATTTATTCTGGAACTAGGAGCCTGGCCGGTTCTCCTGCTCACTGTCCCCTGAGTATCTGGAAAGGGAGGAGAAAAGGGGGTCTTAGGTATAGCAGGGGAGGGCAAGGATGGTTTTACAAGGGAGAAACCCAAGCAGTGGCCTGTTCAGGGTTACCCGTCATCTCTTTCTGCGGCCCTAAACAGCTGCATGGGAGCTACGATGCCGTGGGGTCCCCTCAAGGCCATCAAGAGGTTTCTCCTAGCTCGGGGAAAGCAGGCTGGGGTGAGTGGGGCCGCGGCTCACCTTCTGGATCCAACCGTTGAAGGCAGAAACCCGGGTGAAGACGGTGGGCTTCCTCAAGGCGTTGCAGCCCATCGCGGAGACGAAGCTGGCGATCCCGTGGACGTACCACTTGCCGTCCTTGCCCCGGCAGTTGAGGGGGCCACCGGAGTCACCCTGTCAACGTGGCACGGAGAGTCCCGTGAGCCCTTTGCTTTATTTCTCTGTGTCCAGCCCAGCCTTGCCCCATGGATGGCAATAAGATCTGATCAAGGCTGCTGGGGAAATCGGTCAGGAGGGGAGACCAGAAGCCGCAGCTAAATTAACAGCCTGGGGTGTGACAAGGGAGCCTAAAGGAAGACATACGCACACACACACACACACACACACACACCCTGCTCTTTCCTGCCAGCTGTGGTGGCCCAAGCAAGGCAGATGCCCTGTTTTTAATCAGATATTTAAAAAAAGATGTCGAGACATCTAGAAAGAGTGCAGGGAAGAGCAACCGGGATGACGAGGAGACTGGAGGCAGCTAGAAGCCAAGAGGAACGTAACGTGCCAAAATTCAAGTTTTTTAGGCTTTATGGTTCTGGAGATTTTGTGATGATGCGTGAGGGGTATTTCGCAGGTGGATAGATGGATAGGTAGGTAGGTAGGTAGGTAGGTAGGTAGGTAGATAGATAGATAGATAGATAGATAGATAGATAGATAGATGATCAAAAGATGGAGGAGGGGGGGAAGAGAGAGAGAGAGACAGCAAGCGAGAAAGAAAAAAGAAAGGAAGGAAGGAAGGAAGGAAAGAAGGAAGGAAACAGAGAGAGAGAGAGAGAGAAAGAAGGAAAGAAGGAAAGAAAGAAAGAAGAAAAGAAAGAAAGAAAGAAAGAAAGAAAGAGAAAGAAGGAAGGAAGGAAAGAAAGAAAGAGACAGAAGGAAGGAAGGAAAGAAAGAGACAGAAGGAAGGAAGGAAGGAAGGAAAGAAAGAAAGAAAGAAAGAAAGAAAGAAAGAAAGAAAGAAAGAAAGAAAGAGGGAGGGAGGGAGGAAGAAAGGAAGAAAGAAAGAGACAGAAGGAAGGAAGGAAGGAAGGAAGGAAAGAAAGAAAGAAAGAAAGAAAGAAAGAAACAAAGAGAAAGAAGGAAGGAAGGAAAGAAAGAAGAAAGAAAGAAAGAAAGAAAGAGGGAGGGAGGAAGAAAGGAAGAAAGAA